AAAAAAAACATAAAAATACCCCCCTTATACGTTCACTTTAATATAATAAAACAAAACAGATAAAAGTACCCCTTATACGTACACATGAACATATATGAGTCAAAACAGCATATTTAGTGTTATCGATCTCATCGTCACATCCAAAATATTTTTAGAAGTCCTTGTAAATTAGGCCAAGAAAAAATGCGCAACTGCATATTAGTACTGTGTCCTTTCCTTTACACATGTGTATCAGTAGGCTGTACTGATGATTCCCGCTCCTACCCGCAAAATGCAAAGCTCGGTCTGTGTTTATATAGCTAAGGGACGAAACACAGAGACTGCATCATAAAATGTCTTCTTACATGTGGCACCTAAGTCCAATCCTTTTATTCTACTATTTTATACATTCACAGCAACAAAAAATGCCAGCGCTGCTATGTTAGCATTGTCCTCTTTTGCCTTCACTTGTATGTTTAAAAAAAAATCATTTTTTTCTTCATTATTATGCATTGTTTTAGTCACCTCAAAGCATTTTTACGTGTTTCTACATACGATCACTTGTCTTTCAGCAAAATTTCCTCCCTTCGATGCGTAAAACAGTTTAAATCAAAATTATAACGATTGATCTCTGGACAGCCTTGAATTTTATTGAGGAATTTGAGCCCTACCTCCATGTTATCGATACGAATTGTACGATGATGCGATGGTGCACAGTTGATATCGGCTCGAACATGTCGAGGGGCTGATCGCTGCGATAGTGCCGTACTGCCAATATGACTTGAAACGTCAAATTCCGATCCATAATGCAGTGCACTGGATTCTGGAAAATAATAGTTGCAATTTTTCGAGTGAATTTTTGCGCATACGAATAAAGAAAATATGGGAAAACTACTGCCATCAGCTGGGAAAAATATTTCGAAAGAAGAGTTAATTTACAATCAATCTATTAAATGTGAGCATATCGATGCAAAACGCAGTTACTGACGAAAGTTGAAGAGCGAACGTTGATAGTAACGAAAAGAGGAGCGAAAAAAAAAGAATAACTCTTCGTGGTCATAAAAGCAATAATCACTCTTTGTCAGATGATGAACATCATTGCAACCGTGCGCGAGATATGGCCTTCGACAACAGCCAGTGGATAATGTCTCATATTAGTAAGTGATATCCGCGAGAAATTTGGTCCCCCTCCGAAAAGATGATGCACTGACAATGAACAAATTGTAAGAAGCCATACAATTTAGTGGCGAAAGGACGGGCATAGCTACGCCTAGTGTGTTTGTGGGAGCATTCTAGTATCATCACTAACAAAGGACTAACATGGATAACTGTGCGATTTTAAGCAATTTTACTACAATCAGTGTTACCACGCAGCCGCCGCGGAAAACCCGTGAAAAGCCGGCTAAGAAAGGTGTATTTTGTCTTGAAAGGAAGATACACAGTAGATGTGCTGTCCAGGCTGAACCCGGAACAGAAGTGCCGGTAGTGTAGTGGTAACACATTGAGTGCGAACGTGAAGAAGGGTGGTTCGATTCCCTCCTGGTCCAGAAGGATTTTTGAAGAGCTCCTTCCACGACAGGATCGTCTCCGATGTATGGAAGGAACATCAGAATGCATCAATATGCTATCATTTTCCTGGAATTCACAATGAAGGCCACAACGACTGGCTCGCTTTACATTTGTTATTCACTTGGAATTCGAATTTACCGGTTAATTGCGATCGAGGTGGTGAATGGCCGGCACCAACACGTTGTGATGATTGCGATTCGGCATCTTCTGTTCCTTCTTGGCCTACAAATAAGTACAGAAAAATCGAGCAAAAAAAAAGAAGGAATGATTTACTGAATTAGCTGATATAATTTAAAAAAGATATGAGGCAATCCTCCCCCTTTCCCACCTCCTGCCGGATCGAGCCTTGACGAGAGGAATGTAGCCACTTGGGAAGTAACTCGAGTGATGATCGCACAACGCCATCAGCTTGCTTCTAAAGATCGCTTGAAAAGAAGAAAACATCGAACAGATGATTGATGTTGGTACGTGCTAATACTTCGGCTATTTTCGAGCACCTCTG